TTTTTTGGGGGGGGCGGAATAGACTCTTACTATGTCACCCTTGGTAGAGTGTCATGGTGTCAAAGCTCAGAGCAACCTGAAACTCTTGGGCTTCAATGATTCTCTTGCCTCAGCCTCCAAAGTAGCTGAGACTACAGGGACTGCCACAACGCCTGGCTGTTTTTTCATTGCTGTTTAGCCAGCCCGAGGCCAGGCTCAAACCCACCGGCCTTGGGATATGTAGCACCCTATTCACTAAGCTATGGGCGCCAGGCCACTCTTATTTTTGAAAAATATGAAAATACATATTGAAAGGACACACCATACACCTGGGTGTATGACCCAAAATGCCCAACACTGACTTTTTTTTTTTTTTTTGAGACAATCTCACTCTGTTGCCCTGGGTAGAGAGAATTCCTAAACTCCAGCAATTCTCAGAGTGCTGGGATTACAGATGTTGCACCGTTCCTAGGCAAATCTAAGTCAGGAGTGGTGGCTAAGGCAAGAGGATTGCTTGAGCAGGAATTTGAAGTTACAGCTAGCTAGATGATGCCCCTGCATCCCAGCCTGGACAACAGACTCCTCTATTCAGAAAAAAGGAGGCTGGGCACGGTGGCTCAAGCCTGAGCTCATGTATTTGAGTCCAGCCTGAGCCAGAGCAAGACCTCATCTCTAAAAAAACTGAGCAGGCATTGTGGTGGGTTCCTGTGGTCCCAGGTACCTGGGAGGCTGAGGCAAAAGAATCGCTAAGCCCACATGTTTGCGGTTGCTGTAAGCTGTGACACCACAGCACTCTACTGAGGGCAAAATAAGGGGAGACTTTGTTTTTTAAAAAAAAAAAAAAGCATCGTCTTATGAAAGTCACTACACTTTAAGATATTTTAGGAAGCTAGGAAAAAAATTCACATATCATATTTTAACAATTAACACTTTAGTTGAGGGTAAACCATAGACTTAATATACTTAACAAGAGAAAAATATGACCCAAAGAACCAAAGATTTTATTTCCTATCAAACTGACCTTCAAAACCATAAAGAACACAGACTACATGCGAGACATACACACAAGAACTCAGGAAATATTGGTCCCAAGAGCCCTGAGTCAATAATACACAGAATGAGCTTCAGACAACCAAACTGACCAGAGACGCTGACATAAAAACTGGTGGTAATAAGCATTACTTATACAACTTCTGTAAAACCAACTAAATGATGGTTAAAAGAGACAATTACATAATAGCAACATGCTCAAATAATGTAGGAGTTCTTTTTTAATGGGGGTTGGAGACTGGGAAAGTCTATGTAAAATAATTTTACATCCAGGCAGCACCCGTGGCTCTATGAGCAGGGCACTGGCCCCATATACCGAGGGTGGGGGATCCAACCCAGCCCTAGCCAAACTGCAACAAAAAAAATAGCCGGGCATTGTGGCAGGCACCTGGGCAAAAGGATCGCCTATGCCCAAGAGTTGGAGGTTGCTGTGACCTGTGACGCCAAAGCACTCTACTGAGAGCAACATGAAACTCTGTCTCAAAAAAACTAATTAGCAATTATGCTGGTGGTAGTAACATTATTATTCCACTTTTTTAAAGACAGAGTCTCAAGCTGTTGCCCTGGGTAGAGTCCCACAGCGTCACAACTCAAAGAAACCTCCAACTCTTGGGCTCAAGAGATAACTCTTTGCCTCAGTTTTTCTATTTTAGTAGAGACGGGGGTGGGGGAATGTCGTCTTGCTTTTGCTCAGGCGGGTCTTAAACTTGTGACCTCAAGCTACCCACCCACCTCACCCTCCCAGAATGCTAGGATTACAGGTGTGAGCCACCAGGCCCGGCCTACACACAGAATCTTGATCTTGCTCCGGCCAGTCTCAAACTCCTAAACTCAGGTAATCCACTCACCTTAGCTTCCCAGTGTGCTAAGATTACAGGTATAAGCCACTCTGCCTAGCCCAATTATTTGACTTTCTGATATGCAACGTTCCATGTAGCCAGTAACTAATGATGGGATGTCCTAACTCTATCATCCTGTTTCCTTAACAACTAGGATTTTTAGTGGAAGAAGTTAAAAACTGTATTGGCTTGGCTATAAATGTTCAGATTTGTAAGGGGAAAAAAAAAATGTACCATCGGGCCAGGCGTGGTGGCTAACACCCATAAGCCTATCACTCAGGGAGGCTAAGATAAATAGACCCCTTAAGCTCAGGAGTTCCAGACCAGCCTGAGCAAGATCAAGACCCTGTCTCTACAAGAAAAAAAAAGCCAGGGGCAGGGGCTCATACCTTATAATCCTAGCACTCTGGGAGGCTGAGGTGGGTAGGCTGCCCAAGCTCACAGGTTCCAGACCAGTCTGAGACAGAGTGAGACCTCACCTCTCAAAATACCTAGGTGTTTTGTCGGGCACCTGAGCCCAAGAGTTGGAGGTTGCTGTGAGCTATGATTCCAAAGGTGACAAAATGAGACTGTCTCCCCCCCCCCCAAAAAAACTTACAAAGTAGACAAAGCTAGGTTTACCCTTAAATGGGTAACAGAAACTGCACAATATCAAAAGTTAAGGTGTGTTAATAGAAAGAAATCAAATGTAAAGGTAAATGTATAAATACCACCTATTTGAATAAAATAAAAAATATTTCCCTATCTCCTTTAAATTTAAGAATAAAGAATCTAATACCAATCCCTTCAATATAAAACACTCTTAGTAAAGTAAATATACAAACACCTAACACAGGGTGGATGGTAGAGGACTTCAAATACTCTATTACAATAAAAACCTGTCCAAAAAAATCAGATAATTTCCCCCAACCACTTGGTGTTCCAGTAAGACAGGATATTCAAAAGCTATCTTTTAAAAACTTTAACTATAGGGCAGTGCCTGTGGCTCAGTGTGTAGGGCGCCGGCCCTATATACCAAGGGTGGCGGGTTCAAACCCAGCCCCGGCCAACTGCAACAACAACATCAAAAAAAATAGCTGGGTGTTGTGGCGGGCGGCTTAAGTCCCAGCTACTCGGGAGGCTGAGGCAAGAGAATCACCTAAACCCAGAAGTTGGAGGTTGCTGTGAGCTGTGTGACACCATGGCACTGTCTACCGAGGGTGACAATGTGAGACTCTGTCCCTACAAAAAAAAAATTTAACTGTAAATTTATAAGCAATGTATTTTATCAAAAAGGGAAGCCAGTGTGTACAGACCTGATAAACTAAATAAGAGGTTTTAAATATTTATCTCCAAATAGTTTGATACTATCTTACATATCAAAAAACTTCTGGAAGTAAAATGCTTCTTGGCTTGATACAGTAGACAGGGTAAGTTTGGAATCAATTCAAGAGAAACAGTGGCAATCCAAGCATTTATGTTTTAGGGATTAATTTATTTTTGAAAGACAGCACATAGTCATTTTTAGGCTTATCTATATTAAGTACAAATTAACTGTTCTGCTTCCACTTTTAAAAGTCAAGATGTTCCATAAAAGACTATTAATTCAGAGGTAAAAATGACTTCCCCCCCTAGAGAGCTCTTACCGCCCCCCTCTCTGGGGCAGTTTTTGGCTGAGGCTGGGTTTGAACCTGCCACCTGCAGCATATAGGGTCAGCATCCTAGTCCTTTGAGCCACAGGCACCTCCTGAGAGCTCTATTTTTTAAATGTAATAAATAGAAATATAACACTAAACACACCACAATCATAGTAAGTTGACACTAAGGTGGTTCAGCTTGTCTGTGACCCTGATTAAATCAGGCATTAGGGCAGCAGAGGTGCCCTTTTCTTTTTGAAATTGGGCTAGTTGTTCTAAAGGTAGACGACAACCGACAACCAGAAGCAAACATTAAGAGAAATGAACACTTGCTAATACAGTCAGAGAAATCATACATCACTTAAAGTTATACTCTTTACACTAGGCAGAGAACCCAATTATCAATACTGTACCTAAAAAAAAAAATCTTTCCTTTCCTGCTCCCCAAACCCCACCCAAAGACAAGGTCATCAAGAGAGATGCACTATCCTTTACAAATTAAGTCAAGAGTGTGAAACCAACTCCCACCAAACTACAAAACAAAGAACCAGAATGTTCCTTTCCTTTCAAAAAGCTTACACTGGTGGCCGGTGCCTATGGCTCAAAGGAGCCCCATATGCAGGTGGTGGGTTCTAACCCAGCCCCAGCCAAAAAAACTGCAAAAAAAAACCCTCCAAAAACTTACACTAGCTCAGCCCTGTGGATCAAGTGGATAAGGCACCAGACACATGCACCTGAGCTGGTGGGTTTGAATCCAGCCCTGGCCCCCCAAACAACGACAACTGCAACCAAAAAATAGCCAGGAGTTGTGGCCGGCACCTGTGGTCCCATCTACTTGGGCGGCTGAGGCAAGAGAATCGCTTAAGCCCAGGAGTTGGAGGTTGCTGTGAGCTGTGATGCCACAGTACTCTACTCAGGGTGACAGCTTGAGGCTCTGTAACTCAAAAAAAAAAGCTTACACTAACTTTACTATGTAAATTTCAGATTCTGAATCTTCACAAACAAGCTCAATAAAATATTGGGCATATGAAAAAAGTTAGCTATCCTAGGAAGTTTATAGGATAGTCAAAACTGTACCATCTGGAATTTGTCAGAAAATAATTACCCTGAGTTCTCAAGACAATAAACAGAAGTGACACTTCAAATACCCACATATACATGTATAAATATAACAACAAAAGAATGGATACAAGACAATATAAGAAAATAGCACACCAAGACTCTGAAATAATCAAAGCCACAAAATTCTGGGAATTATGACCAAAAACGATCATGATGGAATACCCATTCTTCCTTTCCCTGTCTCTTTCAGATTATTAAGCTCTCTAATGTGCCAAAGAAAACTTTAACATAAACTAACTTAAATTACAAAACCCGCATAAAGTTAAGAAACTATACACACTCAGTACATTCTTTAAATGACTAAGACTTCTCCAATTAGACAGAATTATCTAATTCTCCCCAACATACACTTTTTCCTCTTTCCTAATAACACCAAATGCATGTTTCAACTCACATTGTTTCTCCGGTCTTGGCTACATGACAAAGAAACTGATCCAGGACAGGACAAACTTCCTTCTTCCCCCTCTTCTCAAAATCTAGACAAAGGAAGAAAGAAATGTTATCAGTATTTCCCAAAAAACAAACTTTCCTTCTAGTCCTTCCCCGCATGCAATTTTTAAAAATCATCCTCACCCCCTTAGATCCTCCAAGTTCTACTTCCAACATATCACCCTCCTTACAGGTAATAGGAATCCTCCTAAAGGGGGCACTCAACTTCTCCACAAACCATCCTTAAGGCAGTGCTTCTCAAAGGGTGGTCGAGGGGAACACTTGCATCAGACTCACCTGTGAATCCGGTAAGAATAAAAATCCCCAGGCCCTGGCTCCTACAAACTGTTTAAGTGAAGTCTGTAAGTCTGTCTTTTTAAAAAACACCAGCTACCCCAACCAGCTGTCCCCAAATGATTCTGGATGCCAAAGAGTAAGTTTCAAAACGCTTAAATCACGCTGTTCTAAGTTTGAGAAGGGTTCTCAAGCCTGTTGCTTGGAAGGAAAAAGCAATCAAGAGCAGCAAAGGCAACCACCTTTAGAATCAAGGCGTGTGGAGCAAAGACTTCAGAAGCCCTGAAAAAGGTTTCCTAAGGCAACTTAAAAGTTGATCTACTCTGCTACCCCCCTCCACCCTGTTACCTTTTCACTCACCCCGACGCCTAGCTGGCGGGGGGTGGGGGTGGGGGGTGGAGAAGAACAAGTCTGCCGGGGGAGGAGGGAGGGAGGGAGGGAGCTGGGGCCCACGACTCGTGCCCGAAGGGGTGGGAAAAGAACTGGGGCCCCCGCGAGAGCTTCCCCGGCTCCCCTCCCCCCAGCCCAGACGCCGGCGGCCGACACAAAGCCCAGAGCGGGGCGGGAGGGAGCTGCCCACAGGGCTCCCCGCCCCAGGGGAGGTTGGGAGGGGGATGGGAGCCAGGGAAGCGCGTCCCCCCTGCCCTGGCTCTCGGAAACACCATCCCTAAGGGGAGATAAGAGAGGGCCGCAGAAGGTGAGAAGGAAGGGAAAGGGGACAGCTACCCCCACCTTTCAGCGCCTCCTGCAGCCTCTCGACGTCCATGGCTTCCCGGAGTCCCTCGCAGCCTCCGCCTCCCTCCGCGGGTCGCCCGGGGACCGGAACGCCTCCCCCCACCCCCCCGACGCCCTCCCCCTCCCTCGCACACACTCTGGCACGCAGGCGACCGGGGGGGGGAACGAAGGGAGCCGGGGGAAGCGAGCGAGAGAGCGAGACCGAGAGAGCGAGCACCTCCCCGAGCCGCTACCACCAGCCCTCCAACATGGCGCCCGCACGTCACCGCGCGCACGCTCCCCGCTGCCGTCCTCGCGCCCGCCGCGCGCGCCGGCTCGGAGCACGAGAGCGCGTGCGCGGCGGAGGCGTGTGGCCTGGGGCCAAGGAGGCCGGGACCCGAGAGGCCCGAACCCGCGAAGGCTCTGGTGGCACTTCCTCAGGTGCGTCCCCCGCGATCGATCTTCGCCTAGTCGAAGGCAGAATGATCAAGGCAGAGGGTTGGTTACTGGCAGATCCCTCGGCTTGGGATCCCTGCCATTAGCTGGCTGTGTGACCTTGAGCTGTTGCGTCTCTGAGCCTCATTTTCCCCTGTGTTCACTGAGGGCAGCACTGTACGCTGTACCAGTCGGTGTATACAGGAGCTGTTGGAATCAACGGAGTGTGCACACATCGCGTTCAGAGTGTGCGTAAATCAGTGTCATGCTAACGAGAGTACCGCCATGCCTGCAACCAGCGTTCTCCCCGGCCCATTCGGGAATAGAAGTAGTGCCTACAGCAAAGTAGTTAAGAGCTCAATTTTTGGAATCAGTAGGATTCAAATCCCAGGTGAACTACTTATTCCCTGTGTCACCCTGGACTCGTTGCCTGTACTCAACGAACCTCCGTTTTCTTATTTATAAAATGGGGATCGTAAAACAGCCAAGAGGATTGAGTGAAATGGCGAAATAGGAACCATTTAACATAGTGCCTAGAACTAATAAACACTCAATTAACATGACTGCCCTTTTTATTATCATTGTGATGGTTATTACATAAGTACCCAGAAGTAGGAAAGGGTGGAAACCTCAGAAGTCATCTTCAGCCCTGATGTTTTACAAATTAGAAATCTTGGGCAGAGAGCAAGCCTGGCAAGCCAGAACCCAACACCTCTAACTCCCTTTTAGTGAGTGCACATTTCTATGTGTACTCTTTCTATTTCACTCTTGTCTGTGAGCTTTGAAAGAAATATCTTGGGCGCCTTTGGCTGGGTGGGTAGGGCGCCGGCTCCATATACCGAGGGTGGCAGGTTCGACCCGGGTTGGAACCCGTCCCTAGCCAGCTAAAGGAGCGATGAGAATTACAACAAAAAATAGCCCGGGCGGCTCCGCGCCTATAGCTCAACCGGCTAAGGCGCCAGCCACGTACACCTAAGGTGGCGGGTTCGAATCCCCAGCCCGGACCCACCAAACAACAATGATGGCTGCAACCAAAAAATAGCCGGGCGTTGTGGCGGGAGCCTGTGGTCCCAGCTACTTGGGAGGTGG